CCACTTATTACTTCAAAAAGTGGTGTATCAGTTTAGGGCATTGACACAAATTTGCACCCTAAATCCCGAGATGGATTTATTCTAGCTTGAGTAGTTTTTCCAGTTCATGACTATCAATTTCTCTAGCTGTTTTGAGCACAATTTTGCGTAGCCCACTTGTTTATCGAGAAGAGATACCATCAATTGGAAATTTGTCAATGCGTATGCTCCTCCTTTCATTAACGCTACAATCACTTTTCGGACTAGAATTTGAAATCTTGGTATCTTGTGTTGGACTTGTATTTCATTTGTGTTTGAACTCAACCCTTGCGATGAAGAAAGGGTTTGTAGCATGGCATTTGCATCTAAATGCGACTCAGTAATGTTTTGTGTAGGTGTTTGAGATGTTTGCAACAACTGCAGCAAGAGAGCTCTGCACTTAAGAACAACCTTGAAAATTTATTTAGGGTAAGTACGTGAAAATGTTACTTAAGGTGGCTTGCATTTTCCGCGATGCTTATTTAGATTCCATGCTTGTGAGCTTGGGGTGATAACTTATGTTCTACCCTTGACGCATTCATCCCTTGCGATCCTCGAAAGCATACTTGAACTGCTGCCACGAACAATCTCAGTTCCGATTTGACATTAGCTTCTCTGCCTATATCTCATCCATTCATTGACTTTGTCCCTTTGGTTTTTATAGTTGGAGCAACAGATCGTGGCTGCTGGCGGGTCAATTCCGATGATGGAATAAATGCTACGACGGAGTCCTGTCCACTGCTATATCATTTGTCAAGAAATATGGATATCAGAGTTTCCGAAGTCCTTTAGCGAGTTCGATTTTACTCTGATGTAGTGAAATTTTCCTACTGCATCTTCGTAACGATGTAGCTTAATAACTTTCTTGGAGGTATGTAATGTAAGGTTCTATTTTCCTAAACCCTAAACCCTTTATCCAACAGATCATTCATTATCTTGTTAGGTCTGGTTTGGTACTGAGTTGATTCTGAAAAAAGTGGGTATCAAAAAAAGCTGGAAGCTTTTTTGTGTTTGGTTAACATTCAACTTCAGTTTTTTTTCACAGTATTTTGTGAAAAAAAACCAAAAACACAAAGCTACAAAACCCAGTTTTGAAAAACCGGCTTTTTTTCACATTTGTTTTACATAAAAGTTTACCAAACATTATAATACTGTTTTTTTTTTTTTCAAAAGCACTTTTACAAAAAAATTTATCAAACACTCTGTTGCTTTATTTAATAGCTGTTTATTCTCACAGTACAACAAAAACAGTTTTTTTTCAAAGCACAACAATACCAAACCAGCCCTTATTTTGTTAGTGAGGAAGCTTTTATCATTGAACTTGAGTTAGGGTTGGCAAGGCCCATATGATCCAATTTGGTTAAAATGCTCCCCCACAGCCCGCTATTTTTGGGCCTGTTGGATCATAAGATTGAGAACCACAAAAGTGCTTTTTTGGAAAGTTGGTTTGATCATTGTTTAGTATTTGTCTCTCCTTGCTCTAGAAACCGCACATACATCGCAGTCGACAACTTCTCACACGAAAAAAAATGTTGTCATTTGGGGGATAGTCCTCTTGTGCTTACCACACTCATTAGTGACTAGATATATCCTCGATTGTACGACAGATTAACTTGCCGCACATGAAAAAAAAACTTGTCATCAAGGATAATCCTCGTGTTTTGAGGACTTGCATAAATACGATTAAATGGCAAATTAACTAGCATAAATACAATAAAATATGTTCTAAGCGAGGCATAAGCCATCTTTTGCTTACAACACTCACAAATCACAAGATACATTTTCGGTTGTAGGGCAGATTCTCTTCTCACGCACACCCCTCCTCCTATTACTCTATCTCCGGTAGTAGGATAGATTCTCTTCTCAAGCACTCCTCGCTCCTCCTAGTAAGGAAGCTCATTTTGTGTGAAAGGTGAAGCAGCTGGATGAAAAGGACATGTGACAAAGTTAAATAAATGTGGAGGCAAAAAGATTGCAAGCTTTTAACAGTCTCAACTATATCAAGCATGGCAAGTGTACATGTCCAAAAACCAAGAGAGGGAATGTGGGGGTGTTTTAGTTGTTGGGGTGGTTGTGCCATGATCATCTGTGGGGCGTCATTGCTAATGCCAGATGGGGTTGCAGGCTTTGCTTTCTTGCTTCCTGCTCAACATTACCTGCCAAATTCATTCTTCCAGATAACAATACCATCTGCATTGAGAGTACGATTCTTTCCCTTTCAAATTCTCGTTTCCTTTCCTTTCCTCTAAACGGTCAGGATTAAGTCACGTCAACATTTTGTGTTGACTACTTTATAGAGAGAGAAAGACAAAGAGGAAAGTGAGGGATAAGGGAAAGGAATTTGGAGGAAGAGAATTCTACTCCCTACATTGATATACAGTATTTGCTTATATTTTGGTGAATATTGATTGTTTCCGACTCACTGTAAATCATAGTCTGACACATTTATATTAATTCTTTTCATAATCAAACCAAATTTATCCATTAGGAAACTTCAACAATGCGTCAAAGATACATACAAGATATGAATATCAACAAGAATGTAAAAGCAACAACCCGACCATGCAAAACTAAAGTGGACAAAGATTGTACAAAAGAACTTCAAAAACCCACATAGCCAAACCCACGTAACCTAGAGCAACTAAAATCTTAGCTTAATTAACTCGTAATCCTAAATCATAACTACCATCATGGATCGAAACCGCACCGTCCCGCATCTAATCAAGAAGAACCTCTATAATACTAGGCAAATTTATGTGCATTTGTTAAAACTGTGATTTTATCGGCAAGAATTGACGACTTTTTACACATAAGGAGTCAATCTTTTTTACTATTTTGGTATAATTTGTTTTGATATATATTCCATGTCTTGTAATAATTTAAAGCAATTACCTAGGTTTTTTTTGTTACTTGTTTGACACCCTTTTGATGGCGTTGCATTGCAGTGTGGTTTTTCTTTCTAAACTTTTTGACTCCAGCCAGGCTGTTTCTGAAACCAAGAAAGGAACAAAGGACGGAGGAGTGAAGAACAAGTTAGAAACTTTTGTTTTACCAGTTCCTTTGACTCTCCAATCTAGTGAAACTGGTTTGTTTTGTTATGACTAAGTGTACAGATTAAGATTCACTTCGGATTTCAGTGTTCAAAGCCTGCTAATTTAGAGAGTTGAATCACTAAATTCAATTTCACAGCCTCTATCAGCCTATCCACTGACTCACTTCGTAAAACCCAAAAACTTAAACAGCCTGGATATCTTTCTTACTCTCTTGTACGGTTCCTATCTCTTGGTTCAAAGATTCTATTCACAGAAATCCGAAATGGATCTCATTCCCCAAGTGTACCATCTTTCTTTAACTCCAAGACTCCCAACATCCAACGAAAAGGAGAGGAGTTTGAAGAATAAATGTCATTGGAATTTTTAATTTTTTGTCATAATTTCTTTGTGCAGTGAAATTGAGAGGTGAATGCAATTATGCAACTTCATAAAAGATTTTGGCAGGATATTAATTAATTAAAAATAGTGGGTGTAGTGTAGAAATAAACTCTTAACAAATTAGCTAAGAATTGAAGGTTTTGAAGAACACTTGGTAGCCTACATAAATAGAAAAGTTAACAGAAAAAAATAATAGAAGGTAAAAGTTACCCTCTTACCACCATCATACTTGCACTTACTTAGAGACCACAATAAACTCTTGTTATTGTGGGATTTTGAGCTTTTGTGACCTTTAATGTAGTTCCAAAATCCCAAATCAAATCTGAGTTTGTATTAGTGATAGTTTTTCTTTCCCAAAACATTTCTCCGACTGAAAAAAAAAAAAAAAAAAAACCTCAATCATATTTTATGAGCAATTTTTAGTAGTTTAATTGTGAAGTTCATGATCAGGTTCGTTTCTATTGACGTGTTTACTTATTTGAGAATAGGCGTGCAATGTGAAAAAATTAAGGCTTTATTATAAAACAAATTGACAGTATGAGGAGTAGACCAACTATTTATAAGCATATAAAAGGTTAGAAGATTATTTCTTTCATCAATGTAAGATTCATTCTAAACACGCAATCTTACATGTGGTGAATTTCCAAGCATGGCACATAGAAAATACAAATTGGATGACGTAAAGCATGAGTGGCCGTTGGGCTTCACGCATGAGACAACATGCTCGGATAACAAAAAGAAATTTGAGATTCTACCATAAAATCAATTGGCAATATGAAAAATAGCTCAACTACTTATAAGAACATGCTAGATCCATTCTCCCATCAATGTGAGATTCATCCTCAACAGAATGATAATTCATTGTTTTTCCAGTATTGGATTACTGATAGCAGCGTAAAATCATGAATCAAAATAACTTAAAAATAAAAACAATTTCGAATTCTAACCAATTATAAGTTAGTAAATACTTCGAATACGAGATCAACTACCTCCAAAGTAAATTACAATATTCTCCTTTGTGAGTAGGAATCCGAGTCCTCATAAAACGACAAGTAGTAGCCTTTTCATGTAGGAAGAGATCACCTCCGGATCTCTCTCACCAAATCCTAGGGATTCGGAGATCCAGACCCTTGAAATTTGATCCAACAGCTACAATTATTATAACTTTTAGAGAAGCTTCTTGTTTGTAGACGTTAGATCAAATTTCAAGAGTCCGAATCTCTGGATCCCTAGGATTTGTTGGGAAAGATTAAGAGATGATCTCTTTGTAAGAAGAAAACCAAACCCAGCTGGCAAATACCCACATCCCTAAGTTCCACGTCAGATCAAAGTCTCATGTTAAACTGCAAGCTCACGGGATCCCCGCGCTCTCAGTTCGCCGACATGGATCCCGAACCTAAGGCACCACCCACCACGTAGGCTCGGACAACCGTTTAACCCCGAACCCAACCCCCAGTAAAACAAAAACAGTAACATTTTAACAATAATAAAAATAAAAATAAATTAAATTAAAAATCGCTCCTAAGTGGCTCTGTTTACAGTATAGCAGCAGAGAGAGTGATTGCGTCTTCTCTGAGAAGCCAAAAACACCAAAAATATTCAGAAAAATTTAGAAATTAAAAAGCAGAAATCTTTCGAGAAAATCTAAGCTCGAGGAGGATCAGAATACAAGATTCAATCGATTGCCTTCTTCTCCAAGCCACCATCTTTTTTTTTTCTGGATGCTTAATATTTCCCACCATTAAAGTTATCACCGCTCTGTGATTTCCCATTTCCCACGAGAAATCTGTAGCTTCTCTCACGGAAAAGTGCTTTAATTCCCCCATTAAAAGCACTTTCTTTCTCCCTGCTATAAAACCCATATCGCCAAGTCCATTTCTTTCACTCACAGAGCTCGCTTCCAATGGCGGAAAAGCAGAGGAGTAATGGGTTTGTGTGCACAGTGTTCTTCCTCTGTTTGATTCAATGGAACCCCATTCCGATTCCAATCGCCGTCGCCATTCTCGACCCGGTTGATTTCTTGGCTCTGCAGTCGATTCGGAAGTCGCTGGAAGACATGCCGGGATCAAAGTATTTCGCCTCCTGGGACTTCACCTCCGACCCCTGCAACTTCGCCGGCGTTTACTGCGATTCCGACAAGGTTATTCCCTCAATCTCGGCGACCCAAGAGCCGGTGCGCCGGGTCTGACGGGTCGGCTCGACCCGGCAATCGGCAAGCTATCCGCCCTCGCTGAGCTATCAATCGTTCCGGGTCGGATCTTCGGCACTCTGCCCCAGTCGATATCCCAGCTCAAGAGCCTCCGGTTCCTCGCACTCAGCCGCAACTTCATCTCCGGTCAGATTCCGCCGAGTCTCGGCCAGCTCCGCAACCTCAGAACACTCGACCTAAGCTACAACCAATTCGCCGGAGCAATCCCCAGCTCCGTCGCAGCCCTTCCGGAGCTCTCCAACCTCATCCTCTGCTACAACCGCCTCTCCGGTTCGGTCCCTCCGTTCACCTCCCAAACCCTGTCCCGACTCGACTTAAAGCACAACGACCTCTCCGGTTCGCTCACACCCAACTCCCTCCCTCCCTCACTCCAATACCTCTCTCTATCCTGGAACCGGCTCTCCGGTCCTGTCGACCGCCTCCTGAACCGGCTCGACCAGCTCAACTACCTCGACCTCAGCAAGAACCAGTTGACGGGCACAATACCGGGTCGGATCTTCACCTTCCCAATCACAAACCTCCAATTGCAGCGAAACTTGTTTTCGGGTCGGATCGCACCGGATGGTCAAGTTTCAATCGCCAACGTCGATCTCAGCTACAACCGACTATCCGGTGAAATCTCGCCGTTGTTTTCGACCGTACAGAGTCTCTACTTGAATAACAACCGGTTCACGGGTCAGGTTCCGGGTAACTTCGTGGACCGGCTATTGGCGGCGAATATACAGGTACTGTATTTACAGCACAATTTTCTGACGGGGATCCAGATCGATCCGACGGCTGAGATTCCGGTGAGCAGCTCGCTGTGTCTGCAGTATAATTGCATGGTCCCGCCCGTACAGACGCCGTGCCCGCTCAAGGCCGGCAAGCAGAAGGCTAGGCCGACGGCGCAGTGTAACTAGTGGAGGGGGTAAAGTAGGAAATTCCCATGGGGTTTAATTTTGTTTATTTTTCTTTAAAAAGGAGAATTAATATTTTGTGGGGCGGGGGGTTATTTTAGATTCATTTATTTAATTTGGGGGGAAAATTATGAATAAGAAAAGATTGTGGATAGTCAGAAATAGTGTAAAAATGTAGGGGAAATTCATGCTCTACTATTTTATTATTAAATATGAAGGAATTTTTGGAAAGGACATGAATGTTTGTTGGTGTGTATCTATTACTATTCTCATAATAAAATAACTAATATGTACATCTTTCCTTTTATAATTAATAATTGTCGTATCTAAACTGAAGTTTTTCGATAATGAAGTAAAGACTGTATGCTGCTAGAGCAAATCTTCATCTGCTATCGATCCGTTTGCGTTCTGCATTATTATTGTCTTTTGAATTGATGATTAGGAGTGAGTTTGCTTTCATTTGGTTTGATTTTCGTCAAAATCGAAAACCGAATCAAAATTACTATCGATTTAGTTCGGTACGATTTTGGAATCTGTATTTCGGTTTGGTTTGATTTTAGGTTCGATTTCGGTTTTTTTCATTTACTTTTTAACCTAGAAATTGGAGGGAAAAGGAAAGGAAAATCTAGGGAATATGGCTTTTAACATATTCGGGCTTAAAGTTAGGTTTACTTAACCTTGGATTGAAAGTAGGCTAACAGCCGACTTGGAATCAAGTTTGGAAAATAAATATCCAACATAAATAAATAAATAAATATTAATTTATATTCATTCGGTTTGGTCTTTTTTTTTAGTTTTAATTTGTTTTTAATCGGTTCTTCTTTTTTTTTGTTCCGGTCCAATTTTTTCGATTTTTCAAGCCCATCCCTATTTTGCTAATTGAAAATTTTGATGACAACCTAAAATTGAGTTGGGAGATACAAGGGGTGTGAAATTGGGTGTATTATACAAACGTCAAGTCCCAACCTTGATCACAAAGGCATACATATCTTAACGAGGAGGTATGCCGGTCATATTAAGAAATTGTCGAGTTATATTTTGTTTTGACAAACATGGAGATGTTATGATTGTTTTGATGAGCAACCTCCTCTTCATTTGCTTTCTTTCTGATGGAAGAAGATAGAGAAGCACAGAAGCACTTTGAGGGGGTTGCTTCTGCTTTTCAGCTTTTGCAATGCACGGGCTTCTGAACAAAAAGCAGTATTCATGATTGGACTATTTGAGAGAAATGTGAAGCAACGTTATTCGTCACGCACTTACTTGAATAACCTCACATTATTTCACACTTTTGGAATCAGCTTTATTTCACTCCATCATATAATAATATTATATTTTGCACAACGGAAAAATTGCTCCTCTGTGGAAAGTTCAGGCCTTCCAATCGTGAAAACAACCTATTTGCAAATGAAAAGTAAGGTTGCGTAAGATGGATGTTCTTGCCCCCCCCCCCCCCCAGGGACGACCATCGCAAAGTAAGAAGCCTTATTGGCTTGAAGTTGCCCTTATACTTGTATTGCATATATGCAATTCGATATAAAATATAACACAAAGTTATGATGGGTGGTAATAGGAGAGGTTGTTGTAGCGATATATCTGCATCTTCTTATAGCACTCATTACGTGATTATGTACGTGAATAGATTGGTATGTAAGAATCTCTTAGATCGCTGATACAACTGTCAACCTAAAGAATCCATAGGTGGTGGCTTGTTCCTCTTGAAAGCTACATAATCTTGCCCTTCTTACTTATGTAAGCCATGGGAGAGGACATGTGAAGGTAGCTGGGATTAGGTGGGAGTTGGATAAACCTAAAGTACAGAGAGAGAGAGAGCTAGCAGTCAACACTAAAGTTACTACAATGTATGACACTTTAACTAAAAGAAAAAGAAAACCCATTTGACTCATTTGTTGTCTCTTCTTCTTGGTCTCTAGAGTTTTGGTTGCTGCCAAAAGCTTTTAACCCATGTTACCACCTCTTTTCCCACACTGGAGGTCAAACTCAACCCAATTTTTCTATTCTCTATATGTGAGACGTTACAGTGGTGATATTACTGATCAATTACGCATTGACACATATTTTGAAGTTTTCATATAACAATGAAGGGAAACTTTGGATGGGGCGTAACGTGGTCGTACATGTATAACAAGTCACCAAGAAGTTATCACGTCGACACAAATGAGTTTGAATTAATCATAATGTTGAGGGTTATTAAAAAATTTCTTCTAAAAATATTTAATTACCGTTAGATTTCACTAACATCAAAATCCTTTAATTTGTGAGAAGAGAAAAAAAAGCTCTTGGTTTGGGAATTGGATTCTGTGAAGCTTGTCCAACAAGAATGTGCTATTAATTATTTTTGTTTTTTATTTTGGGAGGGAATTAGGGGATAAAGAAATAATAATTCATATTTGCAGAAAGTGGGGCATAAATGTTGAATATTTAACATTTGCTAATTATTGCAATTAAGGAAGGGTTGTGCTGCATAATTACGCTCTTTCCCAATTAGGAAATATTAAATTGCAATGTTTGCTTATGTCCCCAAAGTAGGGGCCCTCTTTGTTTTATGTCACCTCACAATATTTATGCCCCACTAATTATTATTTATATTACAACTTAATGCAGATTAGGAGCCCTCTTTGTTTGCTTTTCCTCTTTCTTTTATGTCTGCAATGATGGTTTATGTGAGTTTGATTCTCATAGATGAGAATTGGACCTTTTACTTTTGACATCGATTTTTGTCTTTCACAATGAAATTACTTAGATTTTATTTTCTGCTTGTTTTTTTTTTCTCGTGTAGAAGTGGCTCCAATTGAAGATAAGATGAAAGAAAATTGATTAATGTGGTTTGGACGTGTGAAACGAAGAACTACAGATGCTTCGGTTAGAAAATGCGACTATGTGATAGAGACTCAGAGCACAAGGGGTTGAAAAGAGGAAAACTAATGAAAAGGGCTTGAAAACTTTGAGTTTTAATGATAAGGACAAAATAAAGGGTAAAGTGAATAGTACCAGGATTGACTTTTTAGTGTAAAAATGTGGTTTTTCGTTAAAGTGAACAGTACCAGGTACTTTTCGTTAAAGTTCCCTTGAAAAAGACATAAAAAGACTTTTAAAAAAATACATAGAGTATTAGAGGCTTAGAGCCTAATGAAAGACTTGCACTCTAGAATTCACACAACCAACCTCACTTAGACCATCTCCAACCCTTGGGCTAAAAGTCAAATTTTTTAGTTCGGAAAATTTGGCTTTTAGCCCAAAAACATTTTTTTTGCTCCAACCATTTTGCCTTAAAATTTTAGCCCGGAATTATTAAAGAATGAACTTACGCTAATTTTTTTCTTAAATCAATTTAAAAATAAATAAATAAATATGTAGATTATTGTAAATTAATTTTATGAACATTTTAATCTAAAAAAATTTAAATTCCGATAAACATTTGGCATTTAGCCCGGGGGGAAAGTTGGGGGGTATTTGGCCCAGAAATAACATTTGGCATTTAGACCATCTCCAAACCTGGGCTAAAAGCCAAATTACCCCTCAAATTATCCTCCCAAACACTCCCATGTTAAAATTCTAGGCTAAATGCCAAATGTTATTTCTGGGCCAAATACCCCCCCAACTTTCCCCCTGGGCTAAATGCCAAATGTTTATCGGAATTTAAATTTTTTTAGATTAAAATGTTCATAAAATTAATTTACAATAATATATATATTTAAATTGATTTAAGAAAAAAATTAGCGTAAGTTCATTCTTTAATAATTCCGGGCTAAAATTTAAAGGCAAAAGGGTTGAAGCAGAAAAGATGTTTTTGGACTAAAAGCCAAATTTTCCAGACTAAAAAATTTGACGGGTTGAAACAGAAAAGATGTTTTTGGGCTAAAAGCCAAATTTTCCAGACTAAAAAATTTGATTTTTAGCCAAAGGGTCGGAGATGGTCTTAGCCTAAAATTTTAACATGAGTTGGAGAGTGTTTGGGGAGGGGGGTAATTTGGCTTTTAGCCCAGGTTTGGAGATGGTCTTAGTGGGATAAGACTTTGTTGTTGTTCTTTTTACCATCCACACTGGTTTTGTAAAATTTGACTTTCCCGAGATTACATGTGGTCAAATGTCCTAATAGATCAAGGGGATATGCTATCCACACACCCCATTTTACTTCTCACACACCCTTTGTTAATTTCTGTTTGTTAATCTTCTTCAATTCATCTGATCCGACAACCGAAAATTAGAAGGATGTGTGAGAAGTAAAAAAATGTGTGTAGATATCACATCCCTAGATCAGGTGTTGAAGTTTTCCCCATGCATCTTGAGTTAGAAATTCTAGTAGCACTCAGAAGTAATCAAACAAAATAACCAAGAGGTACAAATAGGAATGGTTTGGACGAACAATATAATTACCACGTACATGGTTATTTATTTATTTATGTACAGGTGAATTTAGTGAATACAAATCCGATATTAATAATACAATGAGGCCGGCGCTCCTCCACTGCCGGGGATCTCCCATCTAGCAACCTTCCCGTCCCAAGAAGAGCTTACGAGCATCGGGTAATAGGGGTGCCAACTACAGTCCCTCACCGGTGCTTTATGATACTTCAGCGTCGCAACTTGGGCTCCGGTAACCTACACAGATCGATCAAATTACCAGAAGTTCGGACTGAAATCTTCTACCAGAAAGAATAAAACGTACAGCACATACCAAATCATATATATACACAGAACAGTTATGCGATCCCGTGTATATGTACTTCTGACCGGTGCTGCAAATTTTACGTAGATGAAATATTTCGTTAGTAGCAAATAATCGACAGTACTGCGAAATGAGTAAGAAACTTATACCGCGATAAAATTTTAATCAAAGCAGTTGAACATTACATTTGAGCATAAAATACTTGACCAGGATGTGAAAGCAGATGCTAGAGCTCTAGGGAAATTTGAACGAAAAGATTATTATTAACGCTTACCTATATGCCGGAGAAAAGTAGCAGCGAATAAGCGTACGCAAGACTGAATGTCCTCTATACGTAGCTACTGATTGATCAGACGGATGTTTCTTATCTTTTGCCTGGGGTGGGTAGTCCATCCATCTGTAATCCCACTCAGAACTCCTGACCCCTGGAGTGCTGGAACAAATTGAAAGATTGTTATTCTCTTACTGTAGTAAATTAACTGGAAGTTCAAGCGAAGCCCTTCCAAACTATCCTGATCTTGAATGACGAAGTGAAAAGAGATGATATTATGATGTTTATATAACGGGATTAATATCGTAGTGTTCACTGACCATGATTAAATAGTAGATAAATAAACTTCATATGATTCCAAAAGCACCATGGATAGCTAGGATGTTAACATACCAAGCGGGACTAGAAGACATTTTCCTGATATCCCAAAGTTTAATGGTCTGATCTTTACCATTCGAAATGAAATAACGACCATCTCCTTTGCTGTCAATGAATGCAATACCTTCTAGGTGTCCAGTCAAGACTCCTGCTGGCTTCCTTGTGGCGTTAAAGCAACGTCTATCCCATACCTACACAAAGCTATACCTTATATGAGTTTCTGCATGCATCTCATGTAAGTCAAATAATGACTTCGAAAATTTACCTAACTGAAGAGTATCATCACTCTCAGACGTAGTTATGAACAATGGAAACTCAAAATTAGAAGTCACGGGGATGGCAAATTTACCTTACAGAGAGTATCATCACTCCCAGAATAAATAAGATGGCCACCTTCATCGGCAAAGCATACGGTGTTCACATCAGACTGCAAAAGAAAGCACCGTCAAATTTCCAGCCTGAAAGATTCCACTCTCATTCAAAGAGCAGTCACCACATTACACTTCAGTATTCTTCAATACGACAAGAAAATAAAAGTAAAAAAAAAAATACGACAATATTAAAGAGTACTGACAATCAATAAACGAAATAAAAGAAACACAAGATAGAATCATAGAAGCGTCCAGAAATTCTTATACCTCGTGCGCTGGAATCCGAAGGGATAGCATATTGGCTTCAAGATCATAAACATATATGGAATCATCGCTACTTCCAGCAACAAGTTCATGTCCATCTGTTGAGAATTTTATGGAGAAAATACCAAATGAGTACCCTCCGTCATCACCAGAGGAAAAATCCAAACCCTCGTGGATCTCCTACACAAAAAATCATTCTCTGACTGTCAGCAAACTTACAGCAGAAGCAAAACCAAAATTCCCAGTTTCCTTCATTCTCTAGTCTTGGACATGATAATTCTGCTGGAAGAAAGAACACCATTATCCTATTTATTTCATTATATTTTCCTTTTCTCCAATCCGAAATAAGATGACAAAATGTAAGACAACATCCAATCAAATGGTTATGTGACCGAGTGATTTCTGTAGTATTTATTTATCATTCAAAGTCACTAGCATCTTCACTGAGTTTTTGTAACAAGTAGAAGACAAGAAAATTGTTGAGAATGCACCCTCTAGAAATTTCAAAAAACATAAGAAAGCGCATTTGCATACCGTTATATTTGCATGAGACTCCACTTCAGAAGATCCCACATCAACCATATGAACAATAGGGGACATACTCGCATAAACCTGAAATAGCGGAATCTAAATTTAATAAAGATAAAACTATTGAGAGACATTGATATGTAGACCTCTGGGTGTTTTGAGAGATTATAAATAGTTTCCGATTTCCAAATATTTAGTGCTTGATATGTATATATAGTAGTTTAACATCCTTTTTTGCACCATTATCTCATGAATCTTGACTTCTTGTATCATAATCGAAGGCCAAGGGCCCAATTTTTCATGAAATTAAGATAACAATATACAGGGCCTCACAAGATGGCGTTGATCCGGGGAAAGAGACGTATCAGTGACAGTCCATCGCATACTTTTGGCATGAATGTTCTTCTGGACTTTCCACTCTCTATCCACATTGTATATTTTAATATGGCTATCCTGCAACGAGCATTTGAACAAAAACTAAAATTCAAGCCCATAGCATCATCGACAATCACTACATTTGAAATTTACATAACTCCAAGTTCAAGTAAGTTTCTGCTTCAGAACTGAAGAAACAATGCAACCATCTTACGTTTTCTTTTCAATTGGTTTAATAAACAATCAGATGAACTCGATAAAGAAAGATGTCAGGATGGTCATCCTGTTCTCAATTTGCCAAATTTAGTTTACAGTGCAAGCAATGAACATGTTACCTGAAACCCAGCAATGAAAAGGGATCCATCTGCCGAAAACTGAGAGACATAAGCTCGGCTAGACATTTGGCCGACAGGCCAAGGACCATTGACTGGCAAATATCTACTTAGAACATGGCAACGATCTGCAGAAGAGAACCTGCCTCCTCTTCCCGAATAATTGCCCTCTCGACCAGCCAGCATCCTGACCGTGGAAACGGGCAAGTCCCGCCTTCTAGGTCCAATTTGGGTAAGCCGCTCATTGGGAGCTGACCTCAACTTTGTGAGCTGGGCTACTTCATGCTCTAGATTATGCAATGGTTTGTTGGGTGTTTGACCGTTACCGACTCCATGGACGGCAGCATTTCCAGGATCAAAATGATCAGATTCTAGTGCCAATCTACTGAGTGAATACCCCATCTCATCAAATCACCAACTGCGGCCGCGTCTGCTATAACAACGTTATCATACATCTCAAATCTCATTCATTAAAAAACAGCAAAGGTGTCAATCCTACAAATTTAAGTCATAAAAAACATTACAAGCACTTACAATGTAGTTGAAACTTCAAAACTGCTTCCCAATCATGTCAAAATCCTATTTAAGCCATCAAAAAACAGCAAAAGTAACATAAGAACAACCCAATTGCTAGATTTTCCATTCCATGAACAATCTATGTCCTAATTATTTTCTATCATGCACCTCAAGCTACTAACTTTTTTCGGTAATTCTACAAATACAAGAACCAGCTCCCAACCCAACAACCTTAAATCCAAGAACACTTTCATCCTCGGACTACAAATTAAACTAAATGGTTTTCGAGAATTAAGAAGTAAGAACCCAATTGCCAGTTCGATCGATCTCTACGCAAAAACTTAAAGAAAATCAAAGGAAGGAGAGAGAATTTCTTGCTTACCTCTTTGGAAAAAGTGATGAACTGGGCACAAAGATGGGGACTTTTTGTTGGATTTTTGGTTAAGCAATGACTTTGGTGGTGGATTAATGGATACTCAGGATTCAGAGTATCAGTATATCACATAACCTATGAATCCATGGAGTTTGTGCAATAAATGGATTAATGGATGGAGACTTTTTTGGAGGTGGGCTTGGTCGATAAGAGTGACAGCAGAATTCACTGCCTCCTCCCCCGCAGAGTCGCTGCTGACGGATTGACAACGTGGCAGCTCGGGGCACTAGTTTTTTTGTTTTGTTTTTTTATTGTCTTCTCTTTTTCTCCTTTTTAACTCCACCGGTTTTACCTATGCAAGTTTATCTATAGAAGAAGATGAGAAGTGTGTCAGGTAGTCAACATCCGGTACTTTGTTCATCATATCGAATCTCTATGATATGAATTTGTGCTAAAATTGGATCGTGACCCGGACGTGACTCAATGTGTGGTTTGAGCATGGTAAAAAGTGAGCAAAGCGTGGATTGGAGATTAGGAAGTACCAAAGAGTAAACTTTTTAGTTATTTTGGATCTATCTTGCAAAAGAACAAAGAATTAGTTAGAAAACACAACAAAAGAATACAAGATGGATGAATGAAGTGGAATACAAGATGGATGAATGAAGTGGAAGAATGCATTGGGTGTGTTGTGCATGCAACTTTAGCTCAAGAATTTTTTTTTTTTATAGAACCACAATAAGACTAGCAATGTTTTTATGGCACGGAATGTTAAGCTATAAAAAGAAAGACATACAAAAATTAAGTATGGCGGAGATAAAAATGCTTCATTGGATGTGTAAGCACACGAGAAATGATAGAAGATATGAGCTATTTGGAGCTAACAGAACACTTGACGCAAAGCCGAACGCAGTGGCATTCTAGAATTCATACAACTACCGCTACTTAGTGGGATAAGGCTTGGCTGTTGCTATTATTAATTTTTTTCTTAGTAGAATAAGGTTTGGTTGTTGCTATATTTTTTTCTTAGTAGGATAAGGCTTGGTTGCTATTATTTATTTATTTTTGAACAAATGATATTATGTACTCCAAGGGCGGGGTGGTGGGGAAGTGGGCTAAACCTCACATTGGGTTAGCCATAATAATGTGGTTCAAATTCGTCTTTTGCGAAAATCGAACCTAAGACCTTTCACTTACAAATAAAAAGGAATATCACGAAATTGTAGTACTAAGTGGTTGAATGCTATTTTCTCCTTTTTGTGAGACCTTTTGTAGGTTGGAGACGGGCCTTCGTAGCTATGTCATCTTCTAGTATATTATTGGGGTTGGTATTGTCCACACATTTATTTTTAGCTCTCACAAATTGGTTTTTAATTTCTGTCATTTAATTTCTTCAATTCATTCAATTCGACGATCGAAATTTAGAAAGACTGTGTAAAAGATAAAAAAAGTATAAACATATAGCATCATCCTATTTGGGCTTGAACAAGATCGATATTTTTAAACTGTCATATGGGCATGTGATGCTATAATAATTGTGACTACAACGTTGATATATCGAACCCAAAACATGTTATATAAAATACAGACTGTTTGGGTTAAAACTTGAACTTTGGGCTTAGAATGAAGTTGGCCCAAAAAAAGAAGGAGAAGCCCGAAGCACAGCCCAAGTCCAGAAGGCAGAAAAGGCCTTTCCCGACTAGGTGCAGATCATTTGCACCACTTGCTCACCTACCCAAGGGCCAAGTGGTATAGACCAGCCAACTAATCAGCCCAAAAGTACTTTATGGTGGCAGTACAAGTAAATAGCTGATGAGTCACTATCATTCAAACTGTATTCGGGTAAGATTGTTGCTACATAAGGCCAAGCCAAGGTGTTTATAAAAGGAGAAAGAGAAGTCAGAGTCAAGGACACTCAAACAAACAAATACAAGCACAAACTCTGCTCAAAGCCGTATTTGCCTTTAAAACGAAGGTGTAGTCAGCCCAAGCCTTCATCCCTTTCGGGATAAACCTTATTGTAATAGCTCTGCTACCCTGTTCAACTCTTGCTGTAGTATCGATTTCTTTCTGTAAACTCACCTCCCAACCCCTGTTCTAAACTTCCAAAGCTTCTGATAAACCACAAAGATAGGAAGTTGCAAGACGATCAGCCTTGCTCGACAAGGTTAAACCTTACTCAACCCTCTTTGTTTTTGTCCTTTCATTCATTAGCCTAGCAATATGTTGTATACTACAAGTTGTATCCAAGTTATTTCTAGTAATTTGGCTATTAAAAGACTCTCTCTCAGCGCTTGAATCCGATTTGAATATGTCTTCACAGTTCAAGCCAGATCTAAGTTCTAAGCCCTCGGGCATATAAGATTTGATCACTCTCAAAAGTCTTTGGCCTCAAGGTAAAAAGAACCTGAAGTGGACTTAACCCATCCACGACAAGCTTTGATAACAAAAAGTCTGAAGTTACTTGAGGCGCAAGTAATCGACCTGTCACTTAGTTTTATTTCTGTTATATTATGATTACCATATAACGTTCGAGTACGGGATGAATTCTGATGGGAAGCCTCAAGGCCTATTCAAGGCCCCACAAATGCACCTATTTGGATTCATCCTATTTCTCGGGCGAGAACATTGAGTATAGAAGGAGTTCTAATGGGAAGCCTCAAGGCCTATTCAAGGCCCCACAAAGGCACCTATTTGGATTCATTATGCTCTTTGGGCTCAGGTAATCAGAAGTATGATGGTTATAAGACTCATATAACCAAGAAAAGGAACCTATGTGTTCGAGTACTAAGTTAGTTATTTATGGGAAGCCTCAAGGCCTACACCTAAGGCCCCACAAAGGCACCTGTCAATAACTAACATAGTCTCTCGAATATATATAATTAAAACTCAAACATCCGTTCTACATCTGCCATGCTGAAGATGGCAGTGGCACGCCTGAACACTTAAAAGTTAATCTTAATTGTGAGCCTCAAGGCCTATACCTAAGGCCCCACAAAGGCACATTTCAAAGTTAACTTTGTCCTTCTCTTTCAGCCTTACCCGACAAGCCTTGCCCGACAGGCTTTGCCCGACAAGCCCGCTAGTAAAGCAGAAGCCCGACAGAAAACATCAACCAGCGTCGACCTCTCGGGAAGCTGTGTGCTCGTTGGCCAGGAAGCATCATCCACGGAAATTCCTGCCACGAACATAGTTTTGGCACGCCCAGTAGGATTTCATTTGTGTGGATTTTGCATGTCCAAGAAGAAAGGCCATAAACTGTGCAGAAAGAATACGAAGGACGGTTCTTCTCAACTTTTGCTACCAATGACAGATCACTCAGGAAATCCTTCTTCCTTCCCCATCAGGAAAGATGGTCCTAGAAAACCCATCTTCATCCGGGAAGTCGGAAGGGAAATGAACTAATGAGGAATTACAGGCTACCATGATACAAGTATTGAGAAGTATGGAAAAAATCTCTTTGGAGACCAAGGGGGAAGTCAGTAGACTGTGTACTTTAACAGGGAATTTACAGATGAGGCTGGATCTGGAGTTTTCCACTCCAAAAGGCGCTCAAGAGAGTGGGATGAGCTAGGTTACCATCAGAAGTGAGCCAGTCATTCCCCTATTTCCACTATTAGAAAAAGAAACGGATAGGGGAAAGAAGAAAGCAGTTCCTGAAGGAAGTCAACCCGTGATAGAGCCGATCCTGGGGAAAGAGTTTCCTAGCTTCCCATTATTATCCTTTAATAACAGGAAGCAAGGCGAGCAGGAAAGGACAATGTATGGGATGCCCATAATAACAGGAGAGTCCAACAAAAAAGAAAGCTCCGCAACGTCGGATAAACCTCTTCCTTATAGGCCACCCCCATTGGCTCATAAAGGAGGGAGAACCAACTGGAGAAAGCCTGAATCAAAGAAAGAAACATTCACAGGCAATGACTGAAGCCCGAAGAACGATTCCGCTCTTCTCTTCCAGAATAATACGGCTACTCAACAACTAAGGGATGAGTTGGCTGAATTGAGGAGGGCAGTGGTTCAAAATGCTCAACCACGAGCCCGCCCCGGGTTCAGGATTACTTATCAAAAGCCTTATCCTGAATACATTGATGAACATAATCCATTTCCTCTCAACTTCAAGATGCCCGCATTCCCATCATTCACAGGTGAAGATAGCAGTGTGTCATCCAGAGATCACATTTTTAAATTCTCTAATCACTATGTGGCATATGAAGACAACCCAAACTACAAGTTAAGGTTGTTTGGGAATTCGTTGGCAGGACTTGCATCCCAGTGGTATTCTCTATTACCCCCTAACTCTATTGCCAACTGGGGGCAGATGAAGATGGCTTTCCATGAACAATTTTACAGAATAGAACCAGAAATGACCATTAATGATCTGGTTGAGGTCAAACAATACGAGCATGAGTCCACATAAGACTTCATGATGAGGTTCAGGAAGACAAGGATGAGGTGTCAATTCCCTGTTAACCAAGCTCAGCTCATATCAATCGCTCAAAGGGCTCTAAGATTACCTTTGAGGAAAAGATTTTATGACACACAATTTAATGAGCTACAGGAATTAGTCATTGCTGCCACAAAATATGAAAGGCTATTGCTAGAAGAACAGCAAATGAAGCGTACTTCCAAAACTCATCCTTCTACAAAAACAAAGCTGCAATTCATCATGTGGAGGTAGGAGAAATTGGACCAAAGCGGGAGGATGACCATGACAGAGAGGAAATCGAGGTGTGTGCTGGTGAGATGACTACGCATTTCAAACCATTGACGGTGAAAGGATTAGTTCAACCCATCAAGGACTAGAAGATTGTGATGAACGATTGAGGCTTTGTTCCGATGAAACCTCCCAAGTACCAGAGCTATTCGTTCGATCTGGCCAAAGCACCTGAGATTTATGAAGAGCTGGTGCGAGCAAGAGTGATTGTGCCCGACAGTACGAAAAAGATGCCCAAACCAGAAAAGCTGAGGGGAAAGAAGTATTGCAAGTTACACTATACCTTCAACCATTCTATAACTAATTGTGTTCAGTTCAGAGACTGGATACAAGACCTTATAGTGAAAGGAAAGTTGTTACTTGACAAGCCACAAGCTAGTATGATGGTTGATACCAATCCTTTCCCGGAAGCTCCTATCAACGCGATTCATCTAGTTTAGATGAAGAAGCCAGTGTCATCAATTGTTACGACAAAAGGGAAAGATGGATCTCAGGTCGTCACAACACCATCGCTCAAATAAAGAGGAAAGTAAACAAGGGGGCAAATAGTTGCCCGAAAGA